TGGTCGTAACCCGAAAAATTCGCAAGCAGAGGCGTTCGTATCCCGAGGTACCACTGTACTTTAAGCTTCTGCAATGCTTATGATTCTCATTTTGCCCCTTAACCTCCCCGTACACAATCTCCCTTGCCAATAGTAGACAATAATCTAATTCTCATCAACAATTCAAGGGTCAAGACTGCATACACTTTAAGAAAATCTCCACAGAAAGCTTAAATGAGACCAGTCTTTTTTTCTTGATGATTTGAACCATGATTAAACTGAAGCACTGTGTATCAACTCTACTGAAGTTTGTACAGACAATTCTTATTATTCGCAGATTCTGCATATGTGAAGTCGCTTATTTGCAAAAATGTTTTTGTAACCCAAAATCAATACTCGTGGCACTTTCCCTCTCATTCACAGACATGCAGAGCAGCAAAATATTGGAATCGCCCAATGCACACAGTCCCATCTGAGGTTTCAGCATTCACTAATTCAGTAGTTGTGGCAATTTTATAGACATAACTACCATGAATAATGATTACCTGTATATCCCATTCCCCAAGAGAGTCTTCCTATTGCTGGACATTTGCAAAACAGTATGTACCAAAGCAGATAATTTCAGATAGATTGTATCCCAATCAAAACTAATAGGTTGGGTCCAGACCTGGACCAAAGTTGAATTTTTCTAGATATGGACTAAAACACAGCTGTTCTATGGAGAAATATTTTGGGGAAATAATGATGGGAAAAAGCCAAGGACATTGGTGAAAGAAGAGAGAAGGACCTAGGAAGATCATGGGAGTATTTGGGCCAGTGGGACATACCATACTAGGAACTACTAAGGGGAGACACAGTGCAATGGGTTGAAGCCTTGCCCTACTTGCCCCATAAAATCACTTCAGGATCTCTAAGCTTTGTTCTGGCTCAGAACAAGAAAAACAATCTGCATTTTTTTTCAGTCAAACCCAGAATTACAAAAATGTTTGGATTTTGTTTTGGTCAAACCATGGCTTGTTCACAGAAGTTCAGGAGAACTTCTGGAATGCAGTGTGTTTCAGGTTCAAAATGATACACATTTTCCATTTTCGTAAACCTACTAGAGGAAAGTTCAAGAATGTGACTTACTTTTGAGTCCAACCTTTTCTTATCAGGATCATGTAGTACCACATGCCTTATGAGACTTTGCTGTAAACAACAAAAAATATTTTTTTATGTCCTGAAATAGAAGATGAACAATATTGATCAAATGTAGTGTTTAAAAAGCTTACTTTCATTGCAAAAAGCCTTCCACAGCCAGGGTGGTCACACACAAAAGGTTTTTTTGCCTCATGAAATGAGAGAATATGACTCTGAAGGTTGAACACTGTCGTGTAAGTTCTTTCACAGCCCTCCTTTGGACATTTAAAAACTTCTCTGTCCGCAGCATGAATTTTCATGTGACATTTCAGATAATCTTTGCGACTAAATGTTTTGGAACACACTTGACAGGTAACTGGTTCTAGAGGAAAAGGAAAAACAAGAGGCAGAAGCAGAGCTTCTAGTAACAGTTTCTAAGCATAATTCTTCAAATTTCTCCCCAAGAACAACATTTTGCCTACAATGTACTATCAGTGTATTATCTTGACCATTATATTAAATAATAGTTGTGCAGGACTTCAGATTCAGAAGGGAGAAGGTGCTTTGGAGTGTGAGAGATGCTCATGTAGTACTAGAGATGCTAGTAACTTCTTCAAGCAACTGCATTTTTTCCTCTGGATTGCACAGCTGCAGTGCAATTTCAGGAGAAGACAGCTCTGTTTAAAGGGTCATATTCTTTATTTTATTTGAATTTATTAGCCACCCAACTCCAGTGACTTATTGACAAATGTTGCATGTGCATCCCACCCCCCGACAAGCACTGTTTTCCCTTCAAATCTGAAACACTGCAGAGTTTAAGTATTAAGTAAACTTTTGTAGCATTCTCACATATGGTTTTCTCCTCTCTTTATAATATTGAAAGCTGAGACTATCCATTGAAGACAAATGGTAGATGACTGAGGATGAATGAAGAAAAGCACTTCGTTCTCTTGGTATGTGGTAGAGATGTCAATCACTAAAATGCAATTTGAATATGCAGTTCAATATGAATAATCAAATCTGCCTGAACCAAAATAGTATGCACACATGAGCAAACTCCACTGAATCTCTGAATCAATTCAAAGGTACCTAATACAATTTGACAATTCAGTAAATTACTTTTAATCAAATCTTTGCACAGCTCTAAAATTACCTATTTATGAAATGAACTGCTATAGCATGAGGAGGTGGACAGCAATTCAAATTTAGGAACAAATCCAACCATTCACAGAGCATCTGAACAGGAATATAGCTGCTATGTATAAAGTAAATACAAATACATAAATACATGTTACTTGCAAATCAGACACATTTCCAAATACAAATCCCTAAAAACGGGTCTGATTATATCACATGCTGTTGGTGGACTTCTCAAACATATCTAGCTAGTTACAGCTGGAAACCAGCACAGCGGATCCAGTTAACCTTCAGTCTGATCCTATAAGCATTCCTTATACTTGCATGTGTGTTGTAAATATATATTCATCGCTCGTTACCTGTGAGAAGAATCTAGCTGTAAACCAACAGTTGGCATACTCTATTTACAGAAAATATTTAATTCATAAAAGTGGAAATAAATTAACAGAAAAAAATATTCAGTGGACTTCCAACATGAATTAACTTTTTAAAATAACTCTTAATTCATGTATTTATAAATGTATATGCTCCCTCAATTACCAAAGTAACTCTACAGCAACTCTAATACTTACCCACATGACTGACTCTCATGTGTTTCAGGTATTCTGACCAGGTTTTTCCAACAAACAAACAGCCCTCTTTTTTGCATGCGTAACCTTTAAGAAAAACTGACGTTAACTGGCTTCAAAAAGTAAATGCATAACCACATGTTCTAGGGCCTTGCTCCTTATCTTGCATAGTGCCTTCCACTTATAAAGGTAGGGTGAAGAAGAAATGTAGCCACCTAGATGTCACTGAACTGCAAGTCCTAGAATCCCAGCTTGCACAGCCATGATAAAAGAAACGAAGTTGTGTCAGCAAAATCTTACTTTCCAGCTCTGCTAAAGAGAATAAGAAACTGAGTCAGCTTGCAGAACCTTAGTGCAGTAAGGGCAAGCACATCTGTTTGCAGTGAGCTATGTTTTTGTTAAAAACAATGAACATGTGGAGTATAAATAAGCATTAATCAAAGCAACTCAGACTCAGCAACTATCGCTAATCAAGTGGATGAACTTTCTAAAACAAGCTACCTTTAAGACAAACATCGCTATAAGAAAGCCACTTTAAATGTTTAAGAGCTAGATTCAAAAACATTTTACCTTACTTCCCTTACAGATACAGGTAGTCCTTGCTTAGCGACCACAATTGGGACCAACAAATCCTTTGCTAAGCAGCATGGTCGCTAAGCGAAACATCACATGGCCACAACAGACTTTCAACATCACTCCTCATTCAGTTGTTAAGCGAGTCACCGCAGGCAGTTAAGTAAGACATCACGTGACCATGACTTACAATTTTACTGCCAGCTTCTCCATTGACTCTGCTTGTCGGAAGCTGACTGTAAAGTGCATAAATGGCAATCACGTGACCATGGGACGGTGTGACAGTCATAAATGCCCGCCAGTTGTGAAGTGCCCAAATGTCAATTACGTGACCACAGGGATGCTGCAGTCGTAAATGCGAGGATAGGTCGTAAAGTTACTTTTTCAGTGCCAAGGTAACCGGTCACTAAACAGAGCAATCATTAAGTGGGATCTACCTGTACACCCTGCCATGTTGTGGTTTGCCTAAAATTTAAAGCCAACTGATCTCCTCAGGTTATTTGTAGCTTGACTTGTATATTTGAAATCAGCATTAACATTTAAGTTGAGGGCTGTTTTCTTTTTTTTTTTAATTTTAGCAATTACATTAAGAAAGCCTATTTTATTGGGACTTCTCTCATTTGACCTACACTTTTTATTTGCATTGCACCTCAATTGTCTAATTTATATAATGTATTCTGTTTGTTTCTGACTGTCTTGTGTGAACTCCATCAATATGGCTTATTCAACTAATCATGTTTAAAATAATTACATGAACCCAATTCTTTACCCTTTTAACATTACTTAAACAAAAGAAACAATTACCTCGGTGAACCTTCTCATGACGTTTTAGATGGCTGGGCGTAGAAAAGTGCTTTCCACATTCTTCATGACCACATCTGTGTGACAAAAAATACACAGTCACTCAAAATGGAAATAAAGATCACTGCTTATGAACTCTGAGGCATAAATTCTCTTGCAACTGAAAACAAACTTGTTTCCTTCAGTCCCTCACTCTGCAACATCAGCTTTCAGTAAAAGCATTCAGAGAAGATTCTCTGCACTCAGACCATGAAGGCAAAAAGGTGACAGTGAGGGAATGCCACATACATGCCCCCTTGAATTCACAGAAGAAAAGCTTAATTTAATTAAATGTTTAATGTATTTTTATGTGTTTTAATGCTACATAATTACATTAAATAAATGTAACTAACAGTAGTTGTCTATTAAATAAATAAATATGCACAACCCACAGTTAAAACTGGGAACTTTTGAGGTGCACAGTCAGTTAGTTGGAAAGTACAAAAAATGGTCAGGTCAATTTGAACAATGGAAGAAGAGGGGACAGAAAATCAAGCAAGACAGAAAAATACTTGTTCAGAACATGAACGTGTACTGTTTTTATATGAGGCATCAATTTTCACACTAAAAAGTTAGAAGTATAATGTTCACCAGGTCAGAGTGAGGAATGAGCTGTGAACTTCCTAATATTTCCAGTCAGATATTATGTGAATTTAAGCTGTGCTAGCCCTACTTGTAGACATCTAATAACATCTTCCTTACAGTAACAATTTCTAATTCCTACTTGCAAGTGCCCTTAAAATTTTGAATAAAATCCTCAGACTTTAAAAGGACAGGCAAAGTTTCAAAATGTTACACTTACTTGAAAAATGGTTCACCAGTGTGTCGAGACTGATGTATTTTTAACTGCTGGTGTTTCTTAAAAGATTGCCCACAATTTTCAAAGTCACACTGTTTGGAAAATCAACTTGGTTACAGTTAGAGAAAACCCACAATGAAGTCACAACCTTTATACTTTATAATTTACTAAAAGGCTTACTATGTAAATCTACAACAAATTAGGAAAAAGGACTCCAAATCATCAGGATCTGAGTTCAGTAATAAATCCAATGTAGTTTGTTTGTTTGTTTATTTATATTATTAAATTTGTATGCAGCATGCATCAAGGCTACAATTAATCTGCACAAACAAGCCTCTTTCAGAGTGTAACATGCCCACTATGGTGAGAAAAAAATTCCCTTGCATCTTATCATATCTAACAAATTGCACTCTATAAGCATGCAAACCATCTTCTGTTATTGTAAAGGAGAGCAGGAAAGCTGTGATAGCCTTGCTGATCAACAATGCTGAGCCATAGCCTAAATATGCAAGATAAACTGAGTTCACAAAACATCCTAAACCAACTGATTATGGCTTATGATGTTGTACAACTTCAACCATGGCTGGTATGATATGTGAAATAGCCCACAATATCAAAGCATTGTGCTTTCCAGATGTTGGAGACTTCCAACATACACCTTCAATACACCATTAACCTGGCCCTTAACCAATCTGCTTGGGGATTATGGCAAAAAGTCTAACATGTTAAGGATGCCACATTTGAGAATACAGTGGTACCTCGGGTCACAAACTTAATTCGTTCTGCGACTCTGGTCGCAACCG